CCAAAGTACACAAGAATCAAATTATTGAAAACTAGTGAAAAGAGAATCTCTCAAAAGCATACAGAGAAAAAAACATTACGTTCAGTAAAACAAAAATAATGACTGCTAAGTTTTCATGAGAGACAGTGCAAGTCAGGAAACAACAGAACGGCATCTTTATAAAGCGTTGAAAGTAAAATAAAGCAAAAATAAAAACTGTCAAATCAGAATTCTGAATTCAGAAAAAAATTAATTCAAAAACGAAAACAAAATAAAGACATTTTCAGACAAAAGCCAAGAGAGTTTGCCTCTCATAACCTGCACTCTTAAGAAATGTTCAAGAAAGATGGTAACACAGAGGGAAAATGGTATCCGAAAGACACTTGGGCCTACACCAAAAAAAAAGAAGAGGGCCAGAAATGGCAAGTCTGTGAGTAAACACAAAATAACTGTTTTCTCACTCTAAATTTTTTAAAAAGATAGCTTACTTACCAAAAAGAGTAGATAACATACATAGGAGCAAATCAGAGGGCAACAGCATAAGGGATGGGATGAAAAGTGGAAGAATTCTGTTGTGCGGTCATTATATATGAAGTAACAACACTGTTTAATGATAGACTGTGATTGAGATGCGTATTGTAATTACTAAAGCAACCACTTTAAAAAGAGGTAGAGCTAATAATCCAAAACAGAAGATAAAATGGAGTACTCACTTCATCCCAAAAGAAGGCAGAAAAAGGAGGAATGAAGGAACAAAAAAACAGATGGGACAAGTAGAAAATAAAAATCAGGATGGGAGATTTACACCCAATGATATCAATAATTCTTTAATATTAAACAACCAAAAAAAAAAAAACCCACCAACACAGGAGAGTATGTATTGCATTACTCCATTTACCTAAAATTCTAGAATAGACAAAAATAGAAAAAGGATCAGTGGTTGCCTGGGGCCAAGGGTATTACACACAAAGAGGCATGAAACATCTTCTTAGGGTATGGAAGTGTTCTATATCTTTATTTGGGCAATTATTATATGAGTAATTTTGTGTACATCTGGTATTAGGTATTTTATTGTATGTGCATTATACTTCAATGAAGTCTTTTAAAAAGTTGAAAAAAAAAAGGCAAGACAAGAGATTTGAACCCAAGCAGCCCAGAAACAAGTGCTTATGTTCTTACCGATTCACTATACCCTTTTTTTTTTTTTTAAAGATTTGACAGAGAAAGAGAGAGAGAGTGAGAGAGAGAACAAGCAAGGGGAGTGGCAGGCAGAGAGAGGGAGAAGCAGGCTCCCTGCTGAGCAGGAAGCCCGACTAGGGGCTCGATCTCAGCACCCTGGGATCATTACTTGAGCCAAAGACAGATGCTTAACCAACTGAGCCATCCAGGCCCCCTCCCCTTTTTTAAGATTTTATTTATTTGAGAGAGAGAGGGAGAAGGAGGAGAGGGAGAGGGAGAGAGAGAGAAGCAGACTCCCTGCTGAGCAGCAAGCTCAAGCTCACTCCATGTGGGGCTCGATCCCAGGACTCTGGGATCATGACCTGAGGCATGAAAAAGGCAGATGCTTCAACGACTGAGCCACCCAGGTGCCCCTTACTATGCCACTTCTTGTCCAGCCTTTAAGATTGGGTCATCCATCAATATAGCTTGCCAATACATGATGTGACTTTAAAAATCTATGTAACTGACACATAAATGAAAAGATTTGCATGGTGCTCCTAGATGAGAAGTCAATCTTGTACAGAAAGCACTCACCCTCAATTTAGTACAGACAGATAATGTAACACCAGTCAAAATTCCAATGAGAGTTTCTGGGAGGAAGGCAAAGTGTTTAGAGAATCAATTTGAAATTTTATCTGAAAGGATGGGCAAGAATAGCTAAAAGGTTTTGAAAAACCAAATAAGAGGGTATCTTGCCTGACATATTGCAACATCTTTTTTTAAAGATTTATTTATTTATTGTAGAGAGAAAAAGAGAGAGAGTGCATTAAGGGCGGGGGGAAAGAGAGAGGGGAAGCAGACTCCCCACTGAGTGGAAAGCCCAAGGTGGAGCTGGATCCCAGGACCCTTAGATCATGACCTGAGCTGAAACCAAGAGTCGGACACTTAACCAACTGAACCACCCAAGAGCCCCTACTGCAACATCTTTTAAACCTAGTAATTGAAGTAATCTGGTACTAGTGAAAGAATAGACAAATAAAATTGTGAGTCCTAAAACAGAAACATGTATATATGGAAATTTATCATACGTTAATGTTGTACTCAAATTAGCTGCAAAAGGATAGAGTAACTGAACACTCACTTATAAAAAAATAAACCTAGTCAACATCACTGATCATCAGGGAAATACAAATCAAAACTACAATGAGATACCACCTCACACCAGTCAGAATGGTTAAAATCAACAACACAGGAAACAACAGGTGTTGGCGAGGATGTGGAGAAAGGGGAACCCTCCTACACTGTTGGTGGGAATGCAAGCTGGTGCAGCCACTCTGGAAAACAGTATAAAGGTTCCTTAAAAGGTTAAAAATAGAACTACACTATAAGCCAGCAATTGCACTACTGGGTATTTACCTACAGAATAAAAAAATACTGATTTGAAGGGAGACATGCACCCTGATGTTTATAGCAGCATTATCCCCAAACTATGGAAACGGCCCAAGTGTTTAATTGAACTATGATACCCTGATGCAAGAATATGCTATTCACCTATGAAAATGAATGAAGGGGATCTGTAAGTACTGACATATAAGGAACTATATCTCATTTTATATATTATGATCCCATTTTTATTAAAAAAATATTATATAGTAGAAAGCCTTTAACTGGCTCAATCTGGACCACTGACTAATTAATTGATTTTTGAGAAAGAGAGCATGCGTGCAAGTGGGGGGAGGGGCAGAGGGAGAGAGAAAATCTTAAGCAGGCTCCATGCCTAGCGTGGAGCCGGACGCGGAGCTCGATCTCACAACCCTGAGATCGTGACCTGAGCCAAAATCAAGAGTCGAATGCTTAACCGAATCACCCAGGCGTCCCATGACTAGTTAATTTAAAAAAAGGTTAAAGCAGGTGAAGATCCTTAAATATTTCATTTTAATTTAAAAAATATGTACATTCATTCTCTAGTCTTTGGATATAGAACCAAGGACTTTTCTTTAATTATGGGTTTACCTTTCCTTTCTGATGAAACCATCCCCCTAAAATACTGTTTAAGATTTCTGGTTTCAGTTTCTTTAAAGTGGAGTGAAGACTTAAAAATATTTGCAAAGTGAGCCAGGTGCACATTCTATCTAGCTTTATATTGTCCCCTAGGTTCTTACAATTGTCTTGCCCACTCCTCGTTGATTGCAGTTTTTAAGGCATCTAGCCCTTAGCAAATCTTTTCAAAGCACTAGACTTAGTTTAAATAGGAACTATAATTTCCTTTCACGCCCACATTTTGGTTTATATATTTCATTAAAACTGCCAATTACTGTAACAAGTACAACTAGAATAAGAGGTTTGGAAACAAGATTAACTCTTTATAAACATAAAACCCAAGAATCTCTAACTATAAATTAACACTCGGGTTTATTAACCAGTCTCTTATGGAACTTTTTTACCTGAGTCCATTTAACCAAGTATCATTAATTGCATCCGCTGATACAGGCAAGCCCTTCCTCGCGGGCAGTCCAGTGTGGGAGTCACTAGCCACGAGCAGTGTAGCGACTCACAAAGGGGCTGGTCTGCTTTGACACGTGCTGCAAATGCAAACTACAGGCCGGATTTCAAAAGCTTTGTATTGAAAAGAGAATGCAAAATACTGTGACGATGACTCGTTATACTGATCCTGAGTTGAAATGATAATATTTTGGCAATATTGGATTAAATAAAATACGTTAAAATTAATTTCACTTGTTTTAAAACTTTTTTAACGTGGCTAACAGCAAATGTCAAATTCCAAGTGTTGCTCATTGTATTTCTGTGAGGCAACACTGTTCTAGATCTGCAAACATCCTTCCTTCGACAAGGAGGTCATCCGTGAAGTTCTACTTGAAACAATGAATCACTTTCTTTTTTATCATCTCTGTTACCTGAATCCAAGACATTTAGAGTAACATTTCAGAATAAATCTTTCTAAGCAGATTTATGACTCTTTATCAAGGGTCAATAAACTATGGCCCATGAGCGAATTTGGCCTGCTGTCTATTTTAGGTATGGCCTGCAAACTAAAAACCGTTTTTGTGGTTTTAAATGATTGGGGGGTGGGGTGGGGGGAAGAATCAAAAGAAGGTTAGTAATTTGGGATGTGTAAAATTATATGAAATTCAGATTTCAGTCTCTATAAACAAAGCTCGATGGGCCTGTGGCCATGCTCAGCTTGTACGTTACCTACGGCTGCCGCTTCCTGCTTCACAAGGGCAGAGGGGAGTGTCGCCGCAGAAACGACAGTACCTGCAAGGTCTCCAATATTTAGTCTCTGGCCTTCTCCCGGAAACGTTTGCTGACCCCCGCTCTTTCTCATCCCTTATGGCTCATGGGCATAGTTAGATGTCAACTGTATCTACAGGATCTGGTGAAATAGTGAGGACAGAGAGCTGTGTTTCCATTTTTATCTCTACTAGAGATCAGTTTGGATTTCCAGCTTCTTAACCTGCTTCTGCCATTAATGTCCTTGACTCAGAAAAGTGTTTAGAACCCCAGCTTCTGGGATAGATTTTGTTTGTTTCCTTTTGCCTCTGGGAAGTGTTCCTTCTATTTCAAAACATAAGAGGGTGTTTTTTTGTTTTCTGGGACAGGTTTTCCACAGATGGCATCCCGAAAAACACTCCAAGATCCGTGCCATCGAAAGGTCAACGCACAACTTGACTTTGACATTCGCGAGTGTTCTAGCTATGACAATATGCCAGCCTCGGAGGGCTTGGGTACTCACTGCTCTTGCGGAGTCCCACCTCTATAGATAACACATTCTCTTTTCTTTCAAACCCTCTCTTCATTTGCAGGACTGTTCCTCAGCCCACGGCTTCTCAGGTACCTACCTCCGTTGACCCTGTGAACGCAATCTTGTCTATGCCAATGTGAGAAGCTATTGCTGCCCCAGCCGTTGGCCCGTATCCTGGCAAAATATTGATGACTCCCGGCGGAAAGCCAGCCTGACAAAACAGAATTGGAGGAAATGTGGCTTGTGAAAGCTGATGGAGCACATTACATCGGATATGCTCCAGTAGGCTCCAGCTATAAAGGGAGCGTGAGCCACTCCTAAAGTCGGTTTCCCTTACCTCCTTGATGAGGGCTCCCATGTAGAGCGCGCTGAGCGGGGTTTGTTCTGCCGGCTTGATAACTACTGTATTACCACAGCAAAGAGCCGGAGCAATTTTCCAAGCAAACATCAGCAGGGGGAAGTTCCACTGAAAGGGAAAAACTCAAGGTGGATAAATGAAAAAATATTGCTCTATGACTCTGTTTTCAAGCTGTGACTGCTCAGATTTCTCAGACGAGGCCTCTATATAAATCTTGTCTCACCACAGAGTATAGATTTTGGATATTTTAATTACTTCATTAAGAAGAGAAGAGGACTGGCCTTGAAAACCTCCCCTTTTCTCTCCATTCGGCAAAATACTATATCCCAACGCCCCACCCAAAGGAAAGCTCAGAGTGAAAAGGGAGTTTTTGTTTTTTCTTTGTTTTGGTTTGGTTTTTCATTTTTGTCATTTTGTCTGTTTTTAGAATTAGACTTTGGAGGGTGCCTGGGTGACTCAGTCGGTTAAGCGTCTGCCTTCGGCTCAGGTCATGATCCCAGAGTCCTGGGATCGAGCCCCGCATGGGCTCCCTGCTCAGCGGGGAGCCTGCTTCTCCCTCTCCCACTGCCCCCTGCTTGTCTTCCCTCTCTCGCTGTGTCTCTGTCGAATAAATAAATAAAATCTTTAAAAAAATAAAATAAAATTAGACTTTGGTTCCAATAAGTTCCTGTATACGAAAACTTTTTCTTGCATGTGTGATTTTACACCAGCAGCTTCAGACGGGTTTGAGAGAGCTATTCGGTGTGGAAGGGCTGGAAAAGAAAACTCCGGCTGTTAAGTCAACGTGTACTTGAAGAGAGTGCCTTTTCTTCATATACACGTATTGTCACAAAGCACCCGATGATGAAAAAGAATCGCATCGCCTGATGAGTATGCAAAAATTTTCATTTGTCTCCTTTCCGTTGCAAAATAAACGAATGGGAGGCTGAGAAATATAGGGGAGTATCTGATTTTGGGGCCTAAGGTGGTTTATTTAAACTGATTCCTAAAAAGGATATTAAGCTTGTACTGTCACAGGCATAGGGATGAACCTTGGTGCTATCAGGTGTCATTGATAATTTCATTAAGAAAGAAAACAGAAATCCTGGTCCCCTGGCTTCAGCCCTTGACCATAATGTGTTTCAGCCTGAAGCATCTCAGCGGCCACCCTTGAAAGATTCTCACTGGCCCTGGCAAGCTTGCAAAAATATACAAGTGTCTTGCCTTCACCAAACACCCAATTTCTTTTCCCCTTGGTTGTTTATAAACTTGAGAGTCCACAGAGATGTTTTAATTCCATCTACAGTATATAAATCTTGGAGTGCGGTAATTGAGCCGGAGCTGGCTGACAAGTGGTTCTTGTGTTGTCAGTGAAAGCTGGAGCTCCGAGCTTGCCTCTGGGGAAGGGCGAGGAGAGCAGGTTTGAGTTCCCGCAATGGAGGTGACAGACCTCACCCCTGGCCCGATCCACGGGGGATTTCCCTAGATGGGGTAGGAGCAGCAGAACTTAAACCCAACTTCTCATTTTCTGTTTCATTCTCTAGTAAATTTCACAGAAACCCACAGCTTGCAGATCACTTAAAAAAAAAAAATACTAATACCTCTCAAAAATCTCTGCCCCCCCCCAAAGCCAAAGATGACTTCCTCCTACATTTTGGAAAGAGAACACTTCTTGTCTCTACTGTAAGAGTTGAATTTGAGCCTCCCCTGAAATCCCTGCCAGAATGATTAGCTAGTACTGTTGGAAGATTCGATGATGTTTTATACAGTGCCAAGGCTGTGTATGAGAGAGAGAGGGGAAAAAAAAAAAGACAATGTTTAATGTTCCAATCCAAACACTAAGCACTACATCTATTTCCCTTTACAAGACATACAACAGCCCGGCATGGTTTCAATTATGACCGTGACGTTAATTGTACTGCTGTGTCTTCCATAGAGTCTTCTATCTAGATTCTTGTGAAAAGAAACAGTGGGAAAGAATGGGATTAAAAGACCATATAAAACAATATGCCTGGAAAGATGGTGAGTCATAGTTCTAAAAAATAAACAAGCAAATATAACAAAGCATTAATTTTCCATAAGCAGAACGGACATCCATAACCAAGGGCAGGTTATTAATACACTGGGCTTTGCTTTGCTTTGCTTATTTTAATATGAGAATTCCATGGCTTGAGAACTCAACTCCTGGTAACAGAGCTGAAACCCTATTAACCTGTTCAAATAAGCATTTGCAGGGAGGCTGTTAAAGATATGTCAACAACATGAGCTCAGTTTTTTGCCCCCTGTAATGGAAAGCATACCTCGTTGAGGTCCATGTTTTATGTATCTTTAAGAGAACTGATTCAAATGAAAATAAATAGGAGGCGTAAGGAGATTCACTCACCGGGATGATCTGTCCACACACTCCAATGGGTTCATGTCTGGTAAAAGTAAAATAATCTCCATCTGAAAGAAATGCCCACGGTCACTACCAGAGAATTTGGATGAGAAGAAAAAAACGTAGAGAGAATTTGGGTGGCGATGGAAAAAGTTGAGAAAACATCCTACTCAGCCGTGTAGGAAAGCTGGTAGAAGAGCTTATCACTAGGCACAGGGTGTCTCCAGATACAGCTCCTGGACACCCAGAGTACTGATGAAGGGCCTCGAAGGTGAAATGAAGGACAAGTTTATGACAGGAGAAGCAGTCTTCTGGGGAGGTGGGGGCAGGGGACTGGTGATGGGAGGAGAGGGGCTGGGAACTGGAAAATTGTAATTACTAAATTTTATGTTAAGTGCTAAAATGATACTTCGATATACCTCAACATTTTAAATAACTTTATGAAGTATTAAAAAAAAACTAAGTAAAATGCTACTGGGTAAATTTTAAATGGTAGGCAACTAGGAAAGGTGAATAGTACAGTAAGATCTTTTTTTATAACTGAATCTAGGTGTCAAAACACTTTCCGGACACTGGGGGAAGAGAGACATGTCCAGGCCTCTTTCAAGAAGGCAAAAGTCCACTTCAAAAAAGATTCTATCAAAACCCCAAAGATTCCACCCTCAAATTAGCCAGGGAAATAAGGACGATTTAATAATCTTATTTTCCTTATAGGAGCAATAGGCATAATAATAATAGGAATAATTACCCGGGAAATCCAAACCAAATTTTTCTTTAGGAAAACACCATTATGTTTATCTGATTTTATTTTTTAATTTTTTTATAGATGCATTATTTATTGAAACAGTCTATTGTTAATGAAAATTTAGATTGTTTCCAGTCTTTTGCTAATGCAAACAATGCTGCAATGAATTATTTCATCTTTATGTACCTGTACACATATATTTTTGATCACTTCCTTGAGGTGGAATTGCTGAATGAAAGCATATGTTCATATTAAATAGTAATAAACCTTTTTGACCTGACCTCCCTAGATACTGTTATCAACTTGTACAGCCATCAATGATGTGTGATAGATTCTGTGTCAATGCATTATTATTTATTTATTTAAATTTTGTTAGTTAACATACAGTGCGATATTGGTTTCTGGAGTCGAATTCAGTGATTCATCACTTATGTACAACACCCAGTGCTCATCATAACAAGTGCCCTCCTTACTACCCATCCCCCACCTAGCCCCTCCCCCCCCTCCTCCCTCCATCAACCCTGAGTTTGTTCTCTGTCATTAAGAGTCACTTATGGCTTATTTCCCTGTCTCCTTTTTTTCTTTTCCCCCTTCCCATATGTTCATGTTTTGTTTCTTAAATTCCACACATAAGTGCGATCATATGGTATTTGTCTTTCTCTGACTGGCTTATTTCACTCAGCATAATACTCTCTGGCTCCACCCATGTCATTGCAAATGGCAAGATTTCATTCTTTTTGATGGCTGAATAATATTCCTATATATGATATGATAATATGTATATCATGTTTTATCTGAATTATTTTAAATGGCTAATTGAGATAACCAAATAATGGCTTGTTCTTAGCATACGGCACTACAATGCCAATACTGGACAAAGTCTTTGTTTTTCCCTCAACTGCCAACCCTTTGGCCACTTCACTCATATTTGTTTTCTATCTCAAAAGCTGTCCCCAGGGAAAGTGAAGACCTCAGCTAATTCTCCTGAAGAGCATTACTCTTAAGGATGAAGAAGTAGGGACAGGAGGAGTGTTGTAGGTTAGGGGAAGAGAAAGGATGTGATTGTTTATCATTGTCTCTCAACACAACTAAACCCCTCCTCTTTATACACAGAACTGTTTTAATTAAGTTCAAAATTAGGCATTTAAAAATAATTAAAGGTCTCTCTCCCTCCTGGACCTCTTCCCAGAATTCACAGCTATCTGTTGCTGGTGCATCTTTTCAAAGAACTTTTTTTTTTCACATACAAGTATATGTAGCATCCTTTTATTTCTCCCCCCAGCTTTTTAAAAAATATTAATGTGATCATACTATTCATAGTCTTCTATATTTTTTCCCACTTTTTTTTTCAGATACAGCTTACACATTTTTTGAACTGCTGAATGCTATTCCACTGGCTCAGTACTTGTAGCTACTATAAACTGTCCCGAGGGACACAGAAATTGCTTTCAGTTTAAGCTATTATAAATAATGCTTTAAACATGATCATTTCACATTATCTTTGCATACCTGTGGAATTTCATGGTCAAAGTGTATGTGCATTTCACATTTTGATAAATACTGCCAAATCATCCTTCAGTAAAATTATACAATTTAGAATTCCAACAACAACATGATATTTTTTCCCATCCTTTGACACTGGGGCTTTTCAAACATTTTGATTTCAGTCAACCGGACAGGTGGAAAATGACAACTTATTTTGATTTGTGTTTCATTATAGATACATGGTGTGAATATCTTCTCGTGTTTACTGGCCATTTTCAATTATTTTCTTCAAATTTATATCTTTTGCCCTCCTGCTGTTGGGTTATTCAACTTTTTAGTCATTTGAAGAACTCTACATACGTACATTAAGGAAATTAGGTCTTTGTCATGTGTACTTGCAAAGTCTTTTCCTAATCTGCGCTGCCTGTCTCCAAATTTGTTTTATGACAACGCTTTAAATGGAAGAAATTGGGAAACAGGCAGCATTCAACAACTGTAGGAAGGGAATTATTTTAGCATACATCCCCATTAAAACAAAAGTAGCCCAGTGGAAACTGTCCATAGAATGACAATAAGAAGTCTCAGTAATACTTTAAGAATCAAATCAACTATCTTAGCTTTGTATGCAGACAACTCAAGAATTTTCATAGATACCGTTCTTTTAAAGATTTTTTTTTTTTTTTTATTTGACAGAGAGCAAGACAGTAAGAGAGGGAACACAAGCAGGGGGAATGGGTAAGGGAGAAGCAGGCTTCTTGCTGAGCAGGGAGCCCGATACGGGGCTTGATCCCAGGGAAGGCAGACGCTTAACAACTGAGCCACCTAGGCACCCCTCATAGATACTGTTCTTTACAAAAGTACAAGTTACTGTCCTTTTTCAACTTACAATCTCTGAAAAGGTTTTGTTTTTGTTTTGCTTTGTTTTAACTATCAGTACCTTTTACTGCTTCACTTTTGTGTGTGTGTGTAAGATATAAATGGGATGTCAGGCCCTTCTTCCCGGAAGGTTTTTCATAAGGAGCAATAACCCTGATCAAAAGGTTAGATAGTTTCATTTGCATGGAAATCCTTGCCAACTCAACTGTAACTTGGCTAAGGTGACGGCTCCAGGTGGATCATCACAGATGGCAGAATCAGAGAATCATGTCAAGAAGGGGTGCAAACGGGCTGAGAAAAAGATGGGAATCTGGACTAAGACCACCACGGGCATTTACTGTGGCAGCACATGCGGGGAAGCTGGAGGAGTTCAGATGAAGCATGTCCCCCTCTACATTCTAATGGCTCAAGAATTTAGTTGTATTACTTATATAATTTTCAAAGTTCCTGAAGAAATGAAAGAGAAACAAAATGTAGGCAAAATCTTACAAGGCTGACCCAATAAGGAATTGAACTCAACTCCGTAATTGTGTCCCAAGAGAAACTGAGTTATGGGGAACGAAAACTTCCTTGGATGAACTGTCCACAGATTTGACACTTAGCTAAAGGCTGGTATAAAGAACGGACTGAAGAATCTTCTATCTCTACAGCTCCTCTAAGCAGAAAATGAAGAAATAAAGGGTATTTTGGTGCTTGAACTCTTCCCCCAAAGAATGCTGTGTGAAAGAGATAAAGGGGCCCTGACCTTGAGCTCAGTCTGTATTCTCATCTGGTTGGTGAGTGGGAGATGATCCCGGACACCCCGAGTCTGACCAGGGGTGCCAGGCAAACATAGGAGCTATGCCTTTTACGCGTACCCTTGGCTAGGGCTAACGTGGGCACCACAGAGGTCCTTCAAGCTACTCTGACCCCGCTCTGAATCCCACCCAGCTGCTCCGCTAACATTACCCAAAGGCCACCTTCATCATTTTCACCACGTCCAAGTGCATTACTTACTCTGTTAATGATTTGTTAAATCATTTTTTAAAAATATGTGAAGAGCTACTTGTTAGTCTCACCTGAAAAAACTCTATGGAACAACGGGTTTCATGAGCTAGCAATATTTTCTTCAAACCTAATAATTAAAATGAAGAATGTTCACTACTTTACTGTTTAGAATAATCCAGCATGCTCCAGTGCCATGTGGTATGTACTGTGCTTCTCAAACTAAAATGTGTATATGAAGCACCTGGAGAGCTTGTTAAAATGCAGGTTTTGAATCAGTGAGTCTGGGGCAGGACCTGAGAGTCTGCATTTTTCCACGCTCCCAGGCGATCATGGTACTTCTGATCTACAGACCACGCTCTGAGTAGTGAGGTGCAGAGGAACTGGAAGAGCAAAGAGGGTCCCTGGGTATCATGAGGACCTACAGCTGCTTTACAGCTGCTGACTTCCTGTCTATTTTACTGTTTGCCTCTCTGATGACTCTACTGATCTGCCCAAAGGAGTTTAAGTGTAGGAGAATCTGCTCAATCTTTTTAATATTTTACAAAGGCTAAAATAAGAACAAAAACGTGTCTTTCTATAGAGCTTAACAAACTATTTTCACATTATCTCATTTCAAGCTCAAAACAACTCTATAAAAATATAGGGCAACAGTTATTATCAGTATTTTCTAAGGAGAGAAAAAAATGGCACACAGAGGTTAAGTCTAAAGTGACTTAACCTGGTTAAACTGTGCTTCTGGATTTGAATCTGAGTCATCAGACTTCAAGTTCATTGCCCTTCGAAATATTATTAAAGACTATTCTGTGACTAGGCTGGATTTAGCTGGATATCACAAACCACAGAATCAGAGTATGATGTCTAGGAGTGTAAAGGGGGGAAAAATGAAAAAATGATAACCCTTTTGTGAAGAGTGAAAATGATTCCTTGAGGATTTTTTATGTGGACACAGAGAACTCACATAAACTCCAGTATCTA